TATTGAAATAAAAGTTTAATTTTTATATTGTTGGATTCATTTAATGGTTTCTTTATTAATCCAATTAAAATGTGTATATAAACTACTTCATAAATAAAACTGATGCACTTTACAAATAAAGCATAAAGTCAGTTTGTTAATTTTCTTAAAAGCCCTATCATACTTTCTACACAGAAATTATCACTCAGAGACTATGAGATCATCAGGGACAGATCCAGAGCAAAAAATCTTTTGTATATTTTGTCAACATTAATACTCATTGGCTTCTACTAGCCTCTTTTAAAAATCTCTTTCATTTTAGATGCACGTATTGCTAAAAAATCTTACTAAGCCTACATGGCAAAAATCAGAATATAAAACTATGTTGACTAATTAGAATATGCATAGTCTTCAGGAAGCACTTAAGCACCTACTGTAGGCCAGGCACTACCAGGAACTAGGAATAGAGATAGGAAGGACCTAGAGAGACATGTCCCCGCTGTGAGGGAGTGTATGTTCCTCTGGGAAGAGATAGCCGATAAAAAAACAAATAAATGATAACAAACAAATGGATGACAAGAGGTATCAGTGACTTAAAGTCTGAGAGATTACCTATGGTATATAGTATAGTCTCTTCCAGGACGTGACATCTAATTTGAATTCCGAACGGTCAAAAGAAGCCAATGCGAAGAAGTAAATCAAGCCACTAAATTCAATTCACCAAAAGCCAATTCTCAGACTAATTTACATATTGAAAGGAAGTAGGAAAATAAAAATGTTGGTAAAATTGTAGTAAATCTCCTCTGAACGTGCACACACACACATACATCACTTTTTGAATTATATTATTGTTGCTGCCAGAATTGTTTGTGAAATAAATTTAAATCCTGTCCTAAGTGTAAGATTGATCCTTGATCCTGAGTGTTAGTGAGATGGAGGTACCTTTCATATCATGATATCTTTTCTGTTTTAACCTGTGTCTATTAGGTTTAAACCAAGCCATATAAACAAGGTCATAATGGAATCTCCAGGGGAGATGAAGGAAAAATGTTGTGGATATGTAATTTCCTATGTTAAATTAAGAAAAGAGGAGAAACTATTGTTTTTATAATATCAACTATAAAAATAAAGCTTGACTAAATCTTGAATGATGGATCCATGTAAGTGATAAAATTATCAGAATCTTAGAGGCAAAGAGAAGATTTTCATATTTAGCAGAAGAGGACGTACAGGGGTTTCAAAAGTTTGAGGACTATGGCCTGAAGTGCTTTCCCAAAACTACCCTTTTGTCACTTCAAGAAATTTGTCAAGGGTCTTAAAATTATGCACCTCTGTTTTAGCAAATAATTCTCAGTAAATTAGCAAAATGGCTATTGATTTATGTACAGATAGATATATTTATCTCAGATTTACTCGAAGCTGTGAAAATTCAGGAGAAAATCTATGTTCACAAAAGGGAAGTAAATAAATTATAGATATATAGATATAGCCCCAAAAATTCTATCCAGCAATTAAAAGTCATATTTTGGAAAAAATATTTAATGCCATAGTAAAATGCTCAGGATGAAAATAAAGTATAAATTGGTAATGATTCAGTATTTAAAGGAAAAAGATGCATTTATAACATGGAAAAAACTTGGAATCAGTGCAACTTTGGAGAGCAATTTGGCAGTATCTAAAAAGTTGAGAATGTGCAGACGCCACAATCTAACATTAATATGATAAATATACCAATAGATGAATAGTTCTATAATCATATGACACAATACCATTCAGATGTTAAAAATTAACAAATTCGATCTGTATATCTGCAACAGAGATAGATCTATGTATCTCAACTGAGATAGCTCTCAAACAGTGTTGGATTTTAAAAAGCAAGTTGCAGAATGATATATATGTGTAATAGTGTTTATATAAAAATTTTAAAATGCATATAGCAATACCAGATATTGTTTACGTATACACATAGGGAATATACCTATAAATGCATAGCCTAGAAGAATGTGGACAAGATTCATAATGGTGGTTGCCTTTAAGGTGAAGAGAAGGAAATAGGACTAAAGAAAGATGGGGTAGGGGAGGAAGATAGTATTTAACTCGATCTGTAATAGTGCTTTATTTTTAAAAATAAGCAAAACTGATAAAATGCTTACATTGTGAATTTGGAGTGGTGGTTTATTGTTTGTTATTATAAATTCTTTTTTAAAGTGTGCTTTTAAAACTTACTAAAAACAATGATTGAAAGAAAGTATGTTCAGGTTTGCAGTGGTTATTATTCAACAGTGAGATTACAGTTCAATTTTAATTTCACCTTCAAACATCTCTGAATTTTCCAAATCCACAAAATGAATGTTGAGAAAATCAGGGCCACTTGCAGCTAAATAAACGAGAACTGTGTAGTTACTGGACCTTGCTCTGTGAGGAGTCCCTAAGGCCCTTGCAATTGAGCTGCTTCTAAAAGGCTGAAGTATCAGCAAAAAAAGGATGACCCTCCCAGGGCCAAAAGGTAGTAGAGGGCTGGCTGCCTGCATAGTGTGGAGATATAAAACTGCCATGTCCTGGGAAGGAGGCAGGGGCATTTGTCTAAGCCAGTGGGTCTCAAACTTGAGCATGCATCAGAATCACCTGGAGGGTTTCTTAAAGAACAGAGTGACCCCTAGAGTTTCTAATTCATTAAGTCTGGGGCCAGGCCTGTGCATTTGTATTTCTGACAAGTTCCTGGGCATTATTGACAATAATGATGTTTGTCCCAGGACCATGCTTTGAGAACTGCTGCTCTAAGCAAAACCCAGCCATCAGATATTTGTATTTTTCTTTACTGAAATATGAGAGAGACATATTTGGCAGGAATCAATCCAATGTTATTATCTGGCAGATCCACAAATTACTTAATGGACCGAGCCAGCCTGTCTCAGGGAAGTTGGAGTCACACACAAAAGCAGACAAACAAACAGAGAAAAAAAAAAAAAAGAAGGAAGGAAAGGAAAGGAAAAAAGAAAGAAAAAAGAAAATAGGCATCAAATGATCAGAAAGCTCAAAAGTAGGGAGAATGTGAGCTGGTCCAATCTAATGATCACAGACCACTGAAGGCATTTTATTGGGAAAAGCAGGGTAATAAAATGAGCATGAAAAAGGACTGTTTAAAAAAAACAGGTTCAATAATCTGGGTCTGTTACTATTTGACAAAACTGGGAGTCCAGGATGGTATGAAATTCATGTCTCTTTCCCATCTTTCATTAGCACTGGGAACTCCACTGGGCAGGACTGACCCTTCCTTGCTCTCTCCATCCTTTCTTATCCTTCCTCCCTCTTTTCTTTATATTCTTCCACACGGAACAGCTCTTTAATGCCAAACATTACACTGGGCTATGGATAAAGAGGTGCCTCCTATCTTTGTACTTCAGCCACAGCATAATACCCTGTACCTAGTAGCTGCTGACTGTCAAATAAAACATGAATAAACACATACATGATCAGCAGGGGTCATGGTTAAGGTGCAGTGAATGGGAGACAAGTGGGTCATTTCTGTGAGAAGCATAGACACAATGGAGTGGCCCCAACAATGTTAAGTTAGAGCTTGAGACACATTGGGAATGATACTACTGGGCACTTTTCTTTATACCCCACATTTTTCCCAATAAATTTTTGCTACTTTTCCCATTGCTTGTTGATGTTTACAACACCCATGCGCAAGGTTTGTACTTTCAGCTAAATGACCTTTATCTCTCTCAGAGCCCAGGCTGCAAATACAGCATATGCCTGAATACATGATGCCTTTTAATATAAGGCATTCTCCTGTTTTCTCAATAAAGACAGCCCCAAAAATGTTTGGGGCTAACTTAAATTGTAGGCTTTTAGGAATGTAGATAAAGTAGTTATGTGTCTATTTACACTGTTTAATGTGTTAAGTTATGCATACATATTTTAAACAACTAAAATATAAATCCTTTTTTAACTTTTGAAACAATTTTAATATTTTCATATGAATTTTAAGTCCTTTAACACAGTCTTCCAGAGCATGTCATCTTCACCTTTAGTTAAGTTGTTTGAGTATAGCATTTTTGAATCTGTGGATAATGCTGTCACTGGACATTTTTATCCCAAGCCACATGTCCCACTCATATAACACTAGAATGATTTTTTTATTCATCCTTTAGTATAGTTTCATGAGTCCCACAATGTAATTACACACTACATATTAAATTGATTATAGAAAGGCTTGTATACCACCAGAAATAAGGCTAGCAACTGTTACATCACATTCTCCATTAGGAGTAAGTACTAAATCTTTTAAAAATTTTATTTGCCATCTTTTTTTACTTAACAATTCCATTAAGATGACTTCTTTCAAGCTTTCCACAGTAGCACTGATTGCTGTTGTCTCAAGCCAGTATATTTTCCCCAAGCAGCACCTTGTGACTTAATAAAGGAATTAAGAGAGTACCCCATAATAGACAAGAATTTGTAAATCTTAACTATAAAGCAACTCCCACTCTTATATTCAAGAACAGTGGGGGGAAATCTCTTGTACTTGGAAATGTACTGTATATTTTCTTTTAATTTTTTCTTTAAAAAAACACCTTTTCTTCTTTAGGCCAATATGATGATTAGAAAAGAAAAGTAAATCATAAGGGCATATACAATTAAAGAGTGATAAAATGTAACTGGATTTTATAAAACTTTCCAGTTGTCAGAACATAAGAGGTGATAGATGCATTTTTATTGTGAGTAAGAAGGAGGTTGTGTGTGTGTGTGTGTGTGTGTGTGTGTGAGAAATGCCACGATTATGTCTATCTCTAATAATTAGAAAGTTACACATGGTGAAGAGCAAACAAATTGGTTAACTGGAGTAAGTGGATCAAGTTGGAAGAAGAAAACAAGACAAATTTGACATGTGATTTTGATGGCAGAGAACATCAAAGTGGTTTGGTGCACTTAGCAGTTTATTCTGTTTTTAAATGTGTGCAGCTTCTCAGTTTTCAATATTAAATATAAAGTTTATACATTTACATATGTTTCAGGCTACATTATTGGAATTTTGAAGACATGAAAACATCAGATGAACCAACCTACAACATCTTGGATTCAGATTGGAAGATGAAGAAAAAATTTAAAGAATGTGGCCTCTAAAGGCGGGTAGTACCTGGAAATATTAACCGACTCACACTGTAAAAATGAGACCATTCTCTAGACCATAGAGGTTATTTTAGTCTGACATCAAGGTTCAAGACAAAATGTTGAACTAAAAACTTTATACTCCTCCCCTCCCCCAATTCAGGCAGGTACCAGCATTGGTGAATATGATTTTCCTTAGTCAGAAGCACTCATTTTTACCCATGTAGACCATCCTTAGGAATTAAATATTGTTTATTTATAGATTATAATGGGAAACTGATTTTTTCCACAATGGCAGATTTCAAGGACTTGGTTCCAAACTGAGCCGAAGCTTCCCAATGCATTTTGTACAGTCTGGGAAAAACTGTGCTGCATTGGCCATTTTTGAAGGCCATCATGCCCTGTAATATAAGGATATCATCTTATTGCTGATATCTTTGGAGAGTCCCAAGCAGACACAGAAAATGAATGGAGGCAAGGACTGTGACGGAGGGGACAAAGATGGAGGTCTTCCAGCTATACAAGTTCCTGTGGGTTGGCAGCGTCGTGTGGATCAAAATGGAGTGCTTTATGTCAGGTGAGCCACCTTATTGCCTTTGTCACCTCCAAGTGTGCAATCCTGTAATTAAGGAGGTAGAGACTGTTCCTTTGAGGGAGCAACATACCATCACTGACAACATTTCACATAAATTTGAGTAAATGACCTTCATGCTAGAAATATTCAAGTGTTTCAGTCTGTACTGTTTTGCAATGTAAATTGCCTTAGGTTACAAGAGAGATTTTTTATGCATTACTTGTGTTTATATAAGGTGTCATTCTGCTTATCTCTGTAACAAGGATAAAGAAAAATATGAAGATTTCTAAAAGAAACATATAAGCATCATTGCCACATTCACAGGAGAATGTAAAATACTGGAAAGAGACCTGATATCTCTTGACAGTATTATCCTGTCCTTCTAGTGCTTCATATGGCTTTTCTGATGTAAGGCTGAGTGTTTTTATCTATAGGCAGTTTCAGTTATGAGTCTTCTTAATTCCTGATATTAATGAAAAATAATTTCCCAATTTTTTTCTGTGCAGTTTTTAATCTATTCCATTGCATATAATAGTAACAAAGAAAAAGTCATGACGGAGATGGCTGTTCCTCTCACAAGTAAAAATCATACAAATAAAATGCAAATGCCTGCTCTTTTTAATTTTGGTAACATATATCTTGTGTACAAGTTGAATGGAAAAACCGAACTGTTGACAAGAAATTTCAGGGTTTTTTTTAACTGACCTATAATATTGTATTAGTTTTATTAGTACAACATAGCGATTCAGTATTTGTATACATTATAAAATGGTCATCTCAATAAGTCTAGTTACCATCTATCATCATACAAATTATTTAATAATTACTGACTATTCCCTGTGCTGTCCGTTACATCTCTGTGTCTTACTTATTTTATAACTGGAAGACTGTACCTCTTAATCCCCTTCATGAATTTTGTCCATCCCTCTACCCATCTCCCCTCTATCAGCCACCAGTTTGTTTTCTATATCTATGGTCTGTTTCTATTTTGTTTGTTTATTCATTTGTTTTGTTCTTTAGTTTCCACATATAAATGAAGTTATATAGTATTTGTCTTTCTCTGTCTGACATATTTTGCTTAGCGTACTACCCACTCTATTCATCCATGTTGTCGCACATGGCAAGATCTCATACTTTTTAATCACTGAGTAATATTCCAGTGTGTTTGTTTGTGTATGTGTCTGTGTGTGTGTACCATATCTCTTTTGTGCATTCATCTATCTATGAACATCTAGGGGGCTTCCATGTCTTGGCTATTGCAAATAATGCTGTGATGAACAAGAAGTGCAAATGTCTTTTTGAATGAGTGTTTTCATTTTCTTTGGTTAAATACCTAGAAGTGGAATTACTGGATCATATGGTATTTCTATTTTTAATTTTTTGAGGAAGCTCCATACTGTTTTCCAAACTTGCTGCTCCAATTTACATTCATACCAACAGTGCACAGGGTTCCTTTTTCTCTACATCCTGACCAATAATTGTTATTTCTTATCTTTTTAATGACAGCCATTTTGACACCTGTGAGGAGATATCTCGTTGCATTTCCCTGATAGATATGATGTTGAGCATTTTTTCATGTGCCTGTTGGCCATCTCTATGTCTTCTTTGGAAAAATGTCCATTCAGGTCATCTGTAGATTTTTTAAATCTGATTGTTTGTTTTTTTGATATTAAGTTGTATGAGTTCTTTATATATTTTCGATGTTAACCCCTTATTGGATATTTGTCTTTTTGTTTGTTGATGATTTATTTCAGTGTGTAAAGAGCTTTTTAGTTTGATATAGTCCCTTTGTTTATTTTTATTTTTGCTGTCTTTGCCTGACGTGATAGATCCAAAAAAATATTGCTAAGACTGATGTTGAAGAGCTTACTGCTTATGTTTTCTTTTAAGAGTTCTATGGTTTCACATCTTACATTCAAGTCTTCAATTTTTTAGCTTATTTTTTCTGTGTGGTGCAAGAAAGTGGTCCAGTTTCACTGTTTTTGCATGTAGCTGTCCAGTTTTCCTAGCAACAGTTATTAAAGAGATTGTCTTTTCCCTCATTATACACTCTTGCCTCCTTTGTTGTAGATTAATTGACCATATAACCATGGGTTTATTCTGGGCTCTCTATTCTGTTCCATTGACCTGTGTATCTGTTTTTATGCTTGTACCATATTGTTTTGATTACAATAGCTTTGTAGTATAGTTCAAAATGGGGATTGTGATTACCTCCAGCTTTGTTCTTTCTCAAGATTGACTTGGCTATTCAGGGTCTTTTCTCCTTTATTTTGTTCATTTGGGTCCTCTCTTTTTTTTTTCTTGATGAGTCTAGCTAAATGTTTTCAATTTTGTTTATCTTTTCAAAGAAGCAGCTCTTAGTTTCATCGATCTTTTCTATTTTTTTTATTTTTAGTCTCTATTTCATTTATTTCCACTCTAATATTTATTTCCTTTTTCTACTAACTTTGGGTTTTATTTGTTCTTTTCCTAGTTCCTTTAGGTGTAGGATTAAATTATTTATTTGAGAATTTTCTTATTTCTTGAAGCGGGCCTGTGTCACTATAAACGTCCCTCCTAACACTGCTGGATTTTAGAATGTTGTGTTTATTTGTCTCAAAATATTTTTTTATTTCTTCTTTGATTTCTTCATTGACCATTTGTTGTTCAGTAGCATGATGTTCAGTCTCCATGTGTTTGTGTTTTTTCAATTTGTCTTCTTGTAATTGATTTTACATTTGTTTTATACTGTTGTGGTTGGAAAAGATGGTTTATATGATTTCAATCTCTTAAATTTACTTATTCTGCACCCTGACATCATGCTCCATTTGCACTTGAGATGGAATGTTCTATACATATCTTATAAGTTGATCTGGTCTAGTGGGTCATTTAAGGCCAATGTTTCCTTATTGATGTTCTATCTGGATGATCTATCCATTGATGTAAGTGGGGTGTTAAAACCCCCTAATATTATAGTATTGCTGTCAGTTTCTCCCTTTGTGTCTCTTAATATTTGCTTTATATATTTAGGTGCTACTGTGTTGGGTACATAAATATTTGCAAATGTTATATCTTCTTGTTGAATTGATCCCATTATCATTTTGTGATTTCTTTTTTTTATCTCTTGTTACAGCCTTTGTTATAAAGTCTATTTTTGATATAAGTATCACTACCCCAGCTTTGATTTTGTTTCCGTTTGCATAGAATATCTTTTTTCATATCTTCAATTTCAGTCTGTGTGTGTGTGTCCTTAGATCTGAAGTAAGTCTCTTATAGGCAGCATACAGATGGGTCTTGTTTCTGTTTTTGTTTTTGTTTTTTTAATCCATTCAGCCACTCCGTGTCTTTTGATTGGAACATTTAGTCCATTTATACTTAAAGTAATTATTGATAAGTGTGTACTTATTGCCATTTTGTTGTTTTCTGGTTGTTTTTGTAGTTCTTCTCTGTTCCTTTCTTCTCTTGCTCTCTTCCTTTGTGATTTGATGATGTTCTTTAGTTTTATGTTTGGATTCCTTTCCCTTTATTTTTTGTGTATCTATTTTAGGTTTTTGGTTTTTGGTTACCATGAGGTTCATATATAACAACCTATACATATAGCAATCTATTTTAAGTTGGTGGTTGCCTAAGTTTGAAAGCATTCTAAAAGCACTACATTTTTGCTTTCCCTTTACCCACATTTTATGTTTTTGATGTTATGTTTTACATCTTTTTATTTTGTGTATCTTTTAGTTATTGCAGATATCATTGATTTTACTACTTTTGTCTCTTAACCTTCATACTAGCATTATAAGTGGTTGATCACTACCTTTCCTGTATATTTGCCTTTACCAGTGAGATTTTTTTTTCTTTCATATATTTTCTTATTTCTAGTCATGGCCTTTTCTTTTCAACTTAAAGTAGTCCCTTTAATATTTCTTGTAAAGCCAATTTAGTTGTGATGAACTCCTTTAGCTTTTGCTTGTCTGGGAAGCTCTTTATTGCCCCTTCAATTCTGATTGATAACTTTGCCAGGTAAAGTGTCCTTGGCTGTAAGCTTTTTCCTTTCATCACTTTGAATTTATCATGCCACTCTCTTCTGGCCTACAAAGTTTCTGCTGAAAAATCAGCTCATCGTCTTATGGGCATTCCCTAATATATAACTAATTTTTTTCTTTTTTCTTTTTCTTTTTTTAAGGATTCTCTCTTTATCTTTAATTTTTGTCGTTTAATTGTAATGTGTCTTGGTGTAGATCTGTAGGTTCATCTTGTTTGGGACTCTCTGTGCTTCCTGATCCTGGATGTCTCTTTCCTTCCCCAGGTCAAGGACATTTTCAACTATTATTTTTTCAAATAAGTTTCCAACACTTTCTCTCTTTCTTCTACTTATGTGACCCCTAAATATAATGTGGATGTTAGTATGCTTGATGTTGTTTCAGGGGTTTCTTAAACTGTCCTCATTTGTTTAAATTATTTTTTCTCTTTTCTCATTCAATTTAGGCTATTTCCATTACCCTGTCTTCCAGATTGCTGATCCATTTTTCTGTATCATCTAATCTGCTGTTTATTCCCTCTAGTGTATTTTTCACTTCTGTTATGGTATTCTTCAGCTCTGATTGGTACTTTCTTTTATTTTCTAGCTCTTTGTTGAAGTTCTAAATATGTTGTTCAGCCATTGTTCTCACAAGTTCAGTAAGCATGTTTATGACCATAACTTTGATCTCTTTATCAGATAGATTGTTTATCTCTGTTTGCAAGTTCTTTTTTTTTTTTTTGAGGTTTTGTCTTCTTCTTTTGAACATAGTCCTCTGTCTCCTCATTTTGCCTACCTCTCTGTGTTTGTTTCTCTGTATTAGGCAGTTCAGCTACCACTCCTGGTCTTGAAGGAGTGACCTTATATAAGATGTCCTATGGGGCCAAAAGTGCAATCCTCCCTAACCACCGGACTCAGCTGCTACAGGGATATCCCTTTTATGGGCATTGTGTACCCTCTTATTGTGGTGGGGCCACAACTGCTGTGGTTGTACTGCTGGGCAGGGCTGACCCCTGGCCTGGTTGGCTTGTGGCCTGGGGGTAACTGCTGCAGGCATGCTGGTGGGCAAGATTAGTGTCTTATTGGCTGCAAGGCCTGGTGGAGGTGCAAGGTTGTGTAGAGCTCTCAGCAAGGCACACCTTTGGCGTTAGTGATCTAGTAGAAGGATTCCAAAATAGATCCAGTGCTTGGATCAGCATGGCAGAATGAGGTAGCAGAAATGACTGTCACCAGTGTCTTAGTCCTTGGGGAGAGGCCCTGCCACCTCATGCCTCTCCAGCAGGCACTCCAAGATTGGTAAGTAGGTATTCTTCACCGTGGACTATGCACTTTTCAATCTAGTGTTTTTGCTCTAGTTTCGAGTCTGTGCTTGAGCCCTTTAGAGCAGTTTTTTTTTTTTTCCCTATAAATATGTAGTTTTTCTGGACATATTCTCTGTTGGTTTTCAAAGCCAGCTATTTTGGGGGCTTGTCCCTCCTGTGCAAGCTCTAAGGGTTGGGTTGCCTGATGTGGAGCTTAAATCACCTGTTTTTTAGGGAAGAGTTCCATACCTTTGAGATCCCTCCTGACTGTGGAACTTAATGCCTCGGGTGTGGTTTTTTCCTTATTGAGACTGTATCTCTGCCTCTTCCACCCATCTCGGTGCTGCCCCTAGTTGTGGAGGCTCTCTGTTCATCTAGTTTCTAGGTCTTTAAGGGGCAATATTCCATATGTAGTTGTAGATTTATTATGTCCATGGGAGGAGTTGAGCTCAGGATTTTCCTACACTATCATCTTGAATGCTTAACCAAGTTTTAGTCTTCTTATTAAACAAATGCCACCTAAGTTACTTATTTTGTAGTTTATCAGGAAGTATATGAAAGGTTATGATAACATAAATCTTTCTTTGTGATGTAATAAAAAAACTATCAGAAACAGACAGGACTTTTTAAAAGATATAACATTGCATCATTACATTAATTAATGTAATGTAATGTAACCACATTACATTACATTAATGCTGTTTCTTTCAGTGTGGTTATTTGTATCCCACTTCAGTGGAATTCTCTATTTGTACAAGGATGTATTTATATAAATGAGATCTTTTCTATTATATAAATACAAATGATTTCATACCTTAACAACTCAAAAGTCAGTTCAGATTTTATCTCAGATCTGTTTGCTTTGTGTAAGTTGTTTCTTGAGGGAAACTTAATTGCCTATTGAAATTGTTTTGCGCATAAGTATTTTATTTCTGTAATAGTAAAGATGTGCTCTATATTAGTGGAGTGAAGTGAAAAGAAAGCAGGGAATGTGGAGCTCATCTCACAGTAGATAAGATGGACAAGGACACATAACTTTTTTGAAGTGTTCCTATTGCCAATGTTGTTTAAAAACTGCTAAAAATACTTTGCTCTAAGTATAATATAGCAAGATACCGGTGTTACTGTTTATATTTATGGTTATTCTAGCCTGTAAGGAGCAAATACATATTCAACTTAGAGCAAATGAGTCTAAAATCTTAATAATTTATTTTTTTTACTTCATCTCCATCCCTATGAAAGATATGTCAGCTTTTCAGATTGCTGAGAACTAAGTTAAACCAAGTTAAGTCTAAGAATCTGTCATTCACCTTGTTCATTCATGATTTTCCAAGTGTAAGTAGACTTCATTATCTGTTACTGTGAGTCCTCCAAACCCAGATCTATACCCTAAGAATTATTTTGGGAAACAAATTTTGCTAGATAAGGTTAAGCACCGTCAAATAAATTAAGTCAGCATGGTTTTTATTTGTTTGTATATAGAACTGGTAAAATTACTACTTAAACATATATAGGAGGCTAGCCCTCCTTCTGTAGCTCCCTTCTCAATGTGCAGTTTGCTTGTAATTTTTAGGTTAGTCTCCAGCTGCTCCTGCCTGGGGGTGGCATTGGGGCTGCACATTAAATTTCCCACCTGCTTCCAATCTTTTGAGCTTTATCTGTGCCGTAAGACTTGTAACTAATTTTTACATTAATTATTACTCCCAAAAGTTAATTAAAGAGCTACAACTGAAGGAACGAACTCAACTGACTGATTGAGAGGAAATGTTTTTAAAGTATCTAGAGTAGAGTACTCTAATAGAATTCAGGAATTCTTTTCTTCAGGTTTAATTTTACAATTAAATTCCTCTAGGATTCAGTCCGTATGCTTTCTTTAACTGTAAAATGCTAGGCAGTTTCTTTTCACAAAATTCATGAATTCTTTATATGACAACTCATTGGTAATCTTGTTTTATAAAAATTACCAGACCTTCGAAATCATCTGGTTGCCCCTACCACCGGGGTGGAACTCAATCTGTAACATGAGAATTATTTTTTGCATATCATCTGTAAAAAATTGTTAGTCTAAACAAAAGAATGAGTAAATAATGTTGAGGATTTTAATTGAGACTTTATACATTCAGAAGTCACTTATATGATTGTCCATAAATATGAATTGCATTTTAAAGCTGGTTTATTTATAGATCTAAAACTATTACCTCTGTTTTTGTACAGGCAGTCTGCCCCCAGTAGAGTAATGCTTTGTATACAAAATGGAGAGTATAGTTTCTGGATAAATTTAATCAGAAGGCTGAGGTGAAGGTTTCAGTAAATAGTCATAAATAAAACATATTCTTGAATGAAAAATATATGATAATTTTCAAAGCATAATATGCATTTAAGTTGTAAAATCCACATATTAATAGTAAAAGTCCTAAGGTGCAGATAGCCCGTTTTAAACTAACCCTCATTGCAAATAAAAATCAAAGACTTATCCTGTCATCTGAATTAGTACCTAATCTGTAAGCTTAAACTTGATCAGTATTCATGTATTATACTGACTTTTTGACCCACAGAGTAGTAACATTGAGAGAACTACCCCAATTACCAACCAGAAGACCTGCAAGGCACTTTTCTGCCATGTAAAACCCTATTTTCTTAAGGAGTTCCCCATCCTTTATCAGTTCTGCATGGCTCCTCTTTCCTTCCCAATGGGTATGGTTCTTCAGTACAATTTGAGTTGGGCCACACTTGTCTATCTTCAAAGAAACACATGGATTGGGAAAAAAAAGAGAAATCTGCTTTTACACTGGGGCAGTTTGGTTCTAGACTCCAAGACTAAAGGCAAGAACATGTTAGCTCCAACTTTTGTAGACTTAGTGACTTTCTGGTTTGACTTCCAACATGTTCCTAAATTTCAGTCTTTCCTCAAACAGCTTTAAAGGTAGATCTTCTAGTTTAAAATAATAACTACTTTCATGTAGTTTTCTTGGTCCTTTCTTGCCTGCTTCTGTACTTTTTTAAGAATAGCATTTTTCCCATCCCCTTAGTCCACTTTTGGTTTTCAAAATACTTTTATTTAATTTTCTATGAAAATCTCTATTTTTCTGAGAAATAGTTTGGTTAAAAGAAAGAGCGATAGTGTTAAAGGCTATAATTTAGTAGATAACATAATATTGACAAAGCAAATGTTTTTCCTTAGTAAGAAAATGTTATCTTGTGAAGGACAGTAAGACTATAAATTATGCCTTTTTTCATATAATATGTACAGTCGGAATTATTTTCTGATGTTTTTTTAAACTATTTTTACAGTCCCAGTGGGTCTTTGTTATCTTGCTTGGAGCAGGTTAAAACATACCTGCTTACTGACGGAACATGCAAATGTGGCTTGGAATGTCCTCTTATTCTTCCCAAGGTAACCATTTTGCAATAGATCTATTGGCAGTTTTGTATTTTTTTAGATGTTTCATATATTTGCTTTTCTCATTTGGCATTTCATTTTTATATTACTTCTCCAATCATATATGCATTTTAAAGTCTTTAATTAGATATCTTTTGCATGCGTTCTGGAATGCTTAAAATTGCAGGAAGTAGTTAAGTCCCAGTCATGTTCAAAGGTGACAAACTATATTCATATTAAATATTTCATCAGAATCTTTTTAGCACCCTTTTATTTGAGCTACACCAATGCTCACTGTTTAATAGTATTTTTCCCTTACTATAACTGCTCAATCTGCAATATGATTTTTTTGCACTGGTGTTGATAAATCTGCCACAAATATTTCTAAAATCACAAAGCTAAACCCTCCGAGCCAAAAGTAAAACTGTTTTAGTCCTTTGCTAGGTAAAAAATACAGTTATTTTAAATAATTAAATATTTTAGAATAGAATAGGAACAAGTCATTGTTCTCTGAATATTATGTGCTAATCTTAGAACTAAAGTTTAATAAATAGTTTTTTCCTTTTATTTGTGTCACCTCATTCACCCTCCAAAAAGCATTTGAAACAGTCTATAAGTGTATACACAATAAGTAATAAGATTTTTTAAAAATAGAGTAATAGTCTTTTTAAATCCATGAAAAAGTAATATTAATATAGTAATAACTATTTTAGCATGTAGAAATGTCAGCTCTTACGGGTTTTTAACTGTACTTCATCTGTTTTTGTACTGTTGTAATATCAGGAAGTATCTAAAATTGGAAACATTATCAGGTATTGTACCTTTCCATATATTTATCTTGGTTGTCTTATTTTATTATCTACTTTGTCACTAAAAACCAAGAATTCAGCAGAAATATTTATTACACTATATATAAAATTATTTTCTTAAATTTAAAAACTTGAGGCAGTTTTACTCAAATTTATTGCTTAATCTATGCAAAACTTTTCTTATAACAAGGAGATTTTTTTTTTAATTTAATGTTTTTATAGACATTCTAAACAGAGAATTTTTTTTTCCAGGTGTTTAATTTTGATCCTGGAGCTGCTGTGAAACAGAGAACTGCAGAAGATGTTAAAGCAGATGAAGATGTCACAAAGCTATGCATACATAAAAGAAAAATCATTGCAGTGGCTACACTTCACAAAAGCATGGAAGCCCCACATCCTTCTCTGGTGCTCACCAGTCCCGGGGGAGGAACAAGTATGTAATGTGGTGAAAGGTTTAGAAATTTTCCTCCCCAACTTCTCTCCTAGAGGAGTCACTGGAAATCACTTTGCTAAACATTTTCTGAGTCCCCTTTTTAAATATGCAGAATGCTTTTTAAAGTTACATATGTTTTCATTTTTTTACAAATAGTAAATTAGTCTGAAAAATTCCTATGAAGTTGTCTCCCCAAATTTCCTCTTTAAATCACTGAGTTAACTGAGCAGAATAAACACCAATTAACACATACAAAGGCTATGCAAGTACACAGAGGTGAGCTAACAAATGAGAAAGTACCATTAGTTTTTAGGAAACAAATGTAACCTTTCTCCGAGCTGGTTTAGATGTATGGTATCAAGTCCTCAAACAGAACCAGCAATATTGTCCAGAGTTAGCAGTGTTAGTTTTTTTTTTTAAGATTTTATTTATTTGTTTGAGAGAGAGAGAATGAGAGATAGAGAGCATGAGAGGGAAGAGGGTCAGAGGGAGAAGCAGACTCCCCGCTGAGCAGGGAGCCCGATGTGGGACTCAATCCCAGGACTCCAGGATCATGACCTGAGCCGAAGGCAGTTGCTTAACCATCTGAGCCACCCAGGCGCCCCAGTTTTTTTTTTTTTTAAGATTTTATGTACTTATTTAAGAGAGAGAGAGAGAGCAGTGGGGGGGACAGAGGGAAAAGCAGACTCCCAGCTGAGCAGGGAATAGGGCTCATTCCCAGGGTCCCGGAATCATGACCTGAGCTGAAGGCAGATGCTTAACCAACTGAGCCATGCAGGTGCCCCCAGTTACTCTTTCAGTCACTTAATAGCTATTTCTTGAACACCTACTCAGAGATATCACCTTATCAGAAACTTTTCATACCCCCACCACACAGAAACCACACACACGCATGCATGCTTTTATTTTTTTTTAAATTCAAAGCTGCAGAAGAATTCCATAAACAGTTCACTGAACACCCAAGTACCCTTCACTTAGATTTGACAATTAACATTTTGTGGTAAAAGTTGCAAATATTATGACAATTCATCCCTAAATATTTCAGTACACATGGATGTTCACCTATATAAACCATGATCTAATTATCATATTCAAAAAATTTAACACTTATTATCTAAAATGCAGTGTATATAATTAAAAAATAGTTGTCCTAATAATTTCCAATTATTCCAGTTGTCCTAATAGTTTCTTCGATTTTTTAAACCCAGGATGCAATCAAAGATTATACAACTGCACTAAATTGTTACACTTCTTTAACCTACACCAATTTCCCCGTCTTTTAAAATCTATTTTTGAAGAGTCCAGGTCAGTTTTACAGATATTCCTCAAGTTAGATTTGCCTGATTATTTCTTCATATTTTTTTTATACTCAGGTTAAACACAGTTTGATAGAATACTGCATAGGTGATGTTTTGTCCTCATTAGGAGGCACATGTCAATTTATCCCATATTGATGACATTAAGCTTAAGTGCTTGGTTAAAGTTATGTATATCCGATTTCTCCATTGTTAAGGTATTTTCCCTTTATAACTAATATGTAATTTGTGGAACTATACTTTGAGACTCAGGAACTTCTTTTTGTATGAGCTAGGATGTGAACTCCCTTCAAAATATTACGATCAACTTAATGGTTGAGTAATAATTCAAGATAAAATATGGCTGAGCACCAAAGCATTTGTTTATGAAGAATAAGTGATATTGTTCTGCAGAGTTCTAAAAAATAGGAACAATGGGTATAACTTGTAGTGATCAGAGAAGGCTTTATGGTAGACCTCAGATTTGAACCAGCCCTGGAAAATGGTAAGATTTAGACATATGAGGGAAATAAGAAAATTCTTATTCAGTATGAGTATAGCATAATTAAGAGATGATGTGGACACTAACCTGACTTGAGTGAATAGATTAAATTTGCGTAGGTAAGTTGGGGCCAAATTACTAACAGCTTTAGATACAAAAGGAGCAGTTGTGACATCATACAGGTAATTGAAGAGTCACACTTACAACTCATGTGAAGAGGGTAGGAAGAGACAAATTTGGCAGTTTTTAGCAGAGAGCTCCTCTTCAATAACCCTCTAACCTTTGAACTTTAACAGGAATGATCAGAAAAAATTGCTCCACTAAGGTATGTAAGAAAAAAAAATTAGGGAATTTTTCTTTTTCTTCTAATGAGCTACATTTTTTTAAATTAAAAGATATTGCAACAATTTAAAGACACATTTAATAGTAATAAATTATTTGACATTTACCATTATCTTGCCACCTTGATATAACTACGTTTTCATTTTGCATATTACCTTGCATGTATCTGCTGTCATTCTCATATCACATTATATCAATTTTACTTACCTCTTTCTGCAAAGTCTGCCTTGTCACTTTTTTAATGACCCTAACAGAATCTTGATCTAGGTCCTTCGTTGTACTCTATACATACAAGTTTCATTATTGAAATTACAGGTACATCTTTAACCAGTATAGGTATAAGATGTATATCTCCATCCCCTTTTAAAATGATATGCTTTATTGGATTAATTGCTACCCTTTTACTAGCTTCAGACATAGCATTTATTTTAATTTCCTAATATTAAACTATATTATAGGGTTGGGATTTAAATAAAAGTTAAGGAGACTCTGGTAGTAGTTTTCATCCCTCTTTATCTACATACATGCGGGTATATTTAGTTTCTGTCTATTCTTTTGAAAGGTCTACTTGAGTATACATGAAAGCACTTGATGAGTGCCCAGCATTTCCATTTGCCAACTCTTGAAATAATTTAGTTTGTAAGTGTAACACAACATCGGCATAACTTTTGTTTGTTTATTCAGTATTCCTGTCATTTTAAAGATGGTAACAATTTTTCCCCATGTATGGAAGAAATCCTTTCCAAACCACTGCTGTTTTCTAAATTCTGTTGAATATAAGAATGCCAGTGTCTATATTTTTAAGCATTGAACTGTACATAACTATATAAATAACCAAAAAAAACCCCAAAGCTCCTTGGTTTTGTTACTAATAAGGACACAGTTCATCATATAATAATGCTAATGATTATGTGTTCTGTGCTCTCACTAGATGCTAGGTGCAATGCCCCAAATATTAAAATTCTGTCTTTAATAAGAAAATAAGTTCATTTAGGTTTATCTTCTGCAATTCTCTTGTGTCATTGGTTCTCAACTTTTCATATATTATGTGCAGAAACCACTCTTATCAAATAATCTCAACCATACCAGAAACAGAAAGCCCACTTTTCCAAGAAAAATATATGTTCACTTAATTCTTTTATTTCTTTAATGCAACCTACCTAGACTTCTGTATATCTTAGGTTGAGAACTACCGTCTTAGAAATTGTTATGATATAATTTTACCTGTATACTATCTAGCAGGTAGGAGAAGTATATTTATCTTAAGTATGTGATTATCCATTTAAATAAATATACCTCTGATTGCAAGTGAACCCAAGTATACTTGCTAATATATTGCCAGTGGGCAATATATAGTATAAATGGTACCACTTTCCTCACCTATGCCTGTAACAGACTCATTGGCATTTTCTCACAGAGCCCAGCCAGGGTGCAACATCCTTTCAACGTAGCTCTCTAAGCAGCCACCACCAGTTGATGGGAATTGGCATATGAAGCTGATTTTATTTGCCATCTCTGTTTTAGAAGGCACAAATTTATAAATTGTTAAACATCCTCAGGGGCTAAAAAACTTAAACCAAGAATTCTGACATGATAGAATGAAAATTCTGTATGATGAGCCAGCTTGCTTTTGTTGCCCATATTCTGTCTGATCTCCAAAAGAACTGAAGGGATTCCAAAAAGCCAGGGAGGGAGCAAAGCTTGCTGTAAAAAGAGAATACTCAATTGGAACCCAGTACTGAAGATTTTAGCCTTCTGAGTAAATTTTGCATAGGAATTCTATCCTAATAAAAGAATCACAATCTTTTAGCTGAGTTGGTTGACTAAGGCTGTTTTTACAATAATGGCTGATCAAGGGCAAAGAGATTGCAATGTTATACTGTTACAGACTTGATGAAGCTAAGCATGATTGTGGTATCACAGCACTTACTATTGTTATCACTCCCATTTTAAAAGAATCAAAATCCCATTCACTTAATTCACTAGAGTTAAGGCTCTTTTGCTCTCCCAATGAGAATGTTGAGATAAGGAAGAGTTTTCGTTGCTGTCCTGAGGAAGTTTCAGTAAGGTAACAGAAACATTTATAGAGTAACAAATTTTCTGGTGAATATAACAATGCAATACACAACTAATAAATCATTGAACACTACACCAAAAACCAATGATGTACTCTATGTTGGCTTACTGAATTTAAATTTTTAAAAAATAGCAATACATTTAAATTATAAGAAAATATGCCATATAGATTATAATTTGCTATTGTAACCCTGTTTCTAAAAAATTCAAATCCGACAAGATAGTAACATCACCATTTCCGTAGAGGCTGTCAATCTTGATTTTTCATGTTATAAATATTGTTAGAATGGCTAATGTGAATATATACTGATTCAGTTCCCCATCCTTCCTCAACCGATAAGAAGTAAACAAGCATAATGAGCAGTTATTGAGAACCTTTGGTCAACTGAGGGAGAATAATGTGTATTTTTTCCATCGAAGTTTACTGTAGAGTATAGAACTTTTTTTTTAATTGCATAGAGTCACAGCTTCTATTTGCAAACTTCTATTTCCACATGCCTTCCCTTCCTCAGTTCTTCCTTTCCTTCCCTCCCCCCATGCCAAAACAAAACAATTGAGAGTAACTAACAGAATTTTTGTTTGTCTTTCACATCAGATGCAACTCCAGTAGTACCTTCACGGGCAGCAACTCCAAGATCCGTAAGAAATAAGTCACATGAAGGAATTACAAATTCTGTAATGCCTGAATGTAAGAATCCTTTCAAGTTAATGATTGGATCATCAAATGCCATGGGAAGGCTATATGTACAAGAATTGCCTGGAAGCCAGCAACAAGAACTCCACCCTGTCTACCCCCGGCAGAGATTGGGCAGCAGTGAACACGGACAGAAATCTCCATTCCGTGGCAGCCACGGAGGCCTGCCCAGCCCAGCATCATCAGGTTCCCAGATATATGGAGATGGTTCAATCTCTCCAAGGACTGACCCACTTGGAAGCCCAGATGTTTTCACAAGAAGTAATCCTGGTTTTCATGGAGCTCCCAATTCTAGTCCTATTCATTTGAATAGGACTCCTCTTTCTCCACCTTCAGTAATGCTACATGGTTCTCCTGTACAGTCATCCTGTGCAATGGCTGGAAGGACTAATATACCTCTTTCCCCAACCTTGACTACAAAGAGTCCAGTAATGAAAAAACCAATGTGTAATTTTTCAACTAATATGGAAATACCACGAGCAATGTTCCACCACAAACCACCCCAAGGCCCACCTCCCCCTCCTCCACCTTCTTGTGCTCTTCAGAAAAAGCCATTAACATCCGAGAAAGATCCACTTGGCATTCTTGACCCTATTCCTAGTAAACCGGTGAATCAGAACCCTGTTATCATTAATCCAACTAGTTTCCATTCAAATGTCCACTCTCAGGTACCTGTGATGAATGTAAGCATGCCTCCTGCTGTTGTTCCTTTGCCAAGTAATCTCCCTTTGCCAACCGTAAAACCTGGTCATATGAATCATGGGAGTCACATACAAAGAGTTCAGCATTCAGCTTCAACCTCCCTGTCCCCTTCTCCAGTGACATCCCCAGTGCACATGATGGGGACTGGAATTGGAAGGATTGAGGCATCGCCCCAAAGATCACGCTCATCTTCCACATCATCAGATCACGGAAATTTCATGATGCCACCTCTAGGACCCCAGGCCACTTGTAGTGGTATTAAGGTTCCACCCAGGTCACCAAGGTCAACGATAGGGTCCCCAAGGCCATCAATGCCATCAAGCCCTTCTACCAAGTCCGATGGACATCATCAGTACAAGGATATCCCTAACCCATTAATTGCTGGAATGAGTAATGTACTAAGTACCCCAAGCAGTGCAGCTTTTCCTACTGCATCTGCCGGAAGTGGTTCTGTAAAGAGTCAGCCTGGTTTGCTGGGAATGCCTTTAAATCAGATCTTGAACCAGCACAATGCTGCCTCCTTTCCAGCAAGTAGTTTACTCTCAGCAGCAGCCAAAGCACAGCTAGCAAATCAAAACAAACTTGCTGGTAACAACTGCAGCAGCAGTAGCAATTCTGGAGCTGTTGCTGGCAGTAGCAACACTGAAGGACATAGCACTTTAAACACCATGTTCCCTCCTACTGCCAACATGCTTCTCCCGACAGGGGAAGGGCAAAGTGGTCGAGCAGCACTAAGAGATAAGCTGATGTCTCAGCAAAAAGACTCATTGCGGAAAAGAAAACAGCCACCTACCACAGTGTTGAGTTTGCTCAGACAGTCTCAAATGGATAGTTCTGCAGTTCCTAAGCCTGGACCCGACTTGCTGAGAAAGCAGGGTCAGGGTTCCTTTCCCATCAGTTCAATGTCTCAGTTACTACAGTCTATGAGTTGTCAAAGCTCTCACTTGAGTAGCAATAGTACCCCGGGTTGTGGGGGCTCAAATACTGCTTTGCCTTGCTCTGCTAACCAGCTGCATTTTACAGAGCCCAATATGAACTCCAGTGCTCTTCAGAATTCACTGACACAGAACATACCTTTGAGAGGGGAAGCCGTGCACTGCCACAATGCAAACACTAACTTTGTCCACAGTAACAGTCCAGTCCCAAACCACCATCTTGCAGGTTTAATAAATCAGATTCAGGCTAGCGGGAACTGTGGGATGCTCAGTCAGTCGGGCGTGGCTTTAGGAAATTCATTACATCCCAATCCACCTCAGTCAAGAATCTCAACGTCCTCCACTCCAGTGATACCAAACAGCATTGTTAGCAGCTATAATCAAACAAGTTCTGAAGCAGGTATGGTTTTACTAGAGAAAAGTACCCCAAGGTACTAAACTTTTCTACGTTTTTTAAAATTTGTACCAAAATATTTATTATGATAAGAAATGATCCTTTCCCCGTTGTGAAATTGTCATCATTTCTTTAGTATTTATAACTTTATTTACAGAATGCTAGGGATTTGTCTATTAGAAAAAAAGAACAACCAAGGGGATTCCGTGTGTTTCCGTTATTTGTTGTCAATCTGTGTCATTTTGAATTTTGTTTGACTTTCAGTTGGTTATATAACCATTGGACTCTAAACTGCAAAAGAAGCCATAGAAGGCAGGGTTTCCCGGTTCGTGAGACATGTACTTACTTGGTCTATGCCAACATAAAAGCCGTTTCCCCTAGCTTTTGTTTGTATTCAGGTAAATGACGCTCATCTTGGAAAACCCAAAAAGGAAAAAAATAAATGGATTTTTTTTTTGTTCTTGCTGCTGACCAGAAATAGGTGAATGGATAGGAAAGGTAACTAGAAGTTGTATGAAGTAGAAAGCTGCCTTCTAATGTGTTCTCTTATCCGAGTTTGCTATCCTTTATTATTATTTGTTTGAGAAAATTCAAAAATGGATATTGGCTCCTCCCTTTTAAAAAAAGGTAATAATTTAAGTTTTCTAATAAAAAAAGGCTTGAAAACCTGATTTCCAGAATTTTTGATCTTGGAATTGTTTTACAATTTTCTTGTAGAAGTTAACCATTATTTTTACCATTGACATTAAGGTTTTGAACCCAAATTTAATTATATCTCTTCGTCCACTATAATGAAGGAGACAAATTTATTTAAAAGTAGACACATTAGAAAGAACTGTGTTTTGTGCAATAGAATCATCAGAAATTGTTATAAAAATCAGGAAAGAAGCACTAAAGAGGTAAATTCATTGAGATATCAGATAATCTGACCGTGAAAATATTAGAACAAATACCCAGAACCCAGCACTAATGATTTGAGAGGTTTGTAGGAAATGACAGGGAGGAAACAAAAGGTAATTGTAGGGACAGTATTACTCAGATACGAAAACGGCGGGCTCTGCAGACCAGATTGCTACTGGAGATGAGAAAACTGCTGGGCTTTTACTAATAAGCTACTGTGTAGATATGTGTAGACTGTAATATACCATCAGGCTGCAGAAGCATCAGAACCTACATGTCTGTGTTGCTGATAGTAAAATCCAGTGTTTTCCTTCCTGGTGTCACTACTTACACCTGCCCTCCTCCGCAACTTGTGTTATGTTCTATGTCTGGATGTCAGTGTTTAATGAAGAACTACTCATTGACCCTCTTGTGTGAAAAAGAATATACGATGGAGAAGATAATCGAAACGATTAGTGCCTTCTTGATATTCTTAATCTAAAGAATCTCATGAAACTATTTTGTATGTGTTTAACAGGATCCTTCTTCCAAAGGGGCTTCCAACTTTTCAATGACTCATATTCCTTTTTAAATAATTCCACATGAGTGAAAATTTAATCTTATGCTTTTAGCAGATTAAAGCCACATAAAATCCGTAACTATTTTAAGATATACCATATTTATTAAGCATGCCTTCAGTCATTTGGATGAGACATTGTTAGTCTCCTTGTATTATATATATCTTTACATAATTAATACCCCTTACCTCAACTTACTTTGTTTCAGGTCTGAGTTCATATTGCAAAGTGTATATGTTTTATTAATGATGTATTTCAGTTCATCCATAATGGAAAAGACCAACACTTATTTATATTTTTGTTTCTTCTGAATGTTAAGTTTATAGACTTATTTTATATAGTCTTGGACATGTATTTTCTTGTTCCATGAACCTCTGTAAAGCGTCAGATCTGGACTGACAGTGCTGGGAGTGTCAAACACACAGGTTGAAAAATTTATTAATATGAGAAAAGTGTTAGCATAGAAATAGCTAAATGGGACAAGAATAAATGTCTAGTAATGATATGGATGTGACCAATCATGTATAAGCTAACAGAAAGCATATACTTGATGAAAATCTAGGTCAGTAAGAATTTTTAAAGTATTAAACCTAATAAAATTAAATTCTAATTAATGTACACAGATCTGATGTGCAGCTGGTTGTGAAAATGGGTAGATTTACTAATTAATATATCTCTTTTGATGAGTTGAATATTGAAGAAGTCTCTAATGCCATGTTTCTTTTTGATACACAGTAAACTGTATCAACTGAATGTACTGTCATTATAATTACTCAGCCTAAATATTTATTTACACTGACATTTATTCATCCATCAGATAAGTACCAAGGCTAGGCATGCAGAGTGAGCCAGCAGATGACAATCACAGCTATCCCTGTAAGTTCAGCTAGGTATTCCTAGCATACAAGTAAGACATCAGAAGAAAAATGCATTTTACTCTTAAAATGTTGCTTGTAGCTATCGAATACTTATTATGTGCCAGATGATTTCCCTATATTCTAATTTGTGTAGTTTCCCAAAGTACGAGGTATTATTGCCCCCATTTTAGAGATGAGTAACTAAGCATCGGAGAACTTAAATAACTGTCCGAGATGATGCATAACTGAATTAAGATTTGAACTCAGGTTCATCTGATCCTAAAATCCATTTTCTTCCCAGCTGTACAAATTCTTCATCTAAAACATTTAGTAGTCAAAAATGCTGTTTTCACTTGCAAAATCTTTAAAAATGCCCAACAGGTCATGAATTAAAGCACATCAGTGTGTGTTAAAAGCCACATTTGTAAACTTTTGATGCACTTTTAGACAAAAGTCAGTTATTTTTGCCTTCTCTCTAGACTCTAATATCATAGTATATAATGATTAGAGTATTTATGTCAACACAGATGAAATGTCCAAACTTATCAAGAGAACTACCCCTCGTTTGTGAATCCCATTTGGTGACCTTTATTTTAATGAATTTGTATCACCTCACTTAATCAGATAAGAATGTGTTTCCTAGTGAGTGACCTGTCAGTAGATCTTTGAAGGAGGCAACTATGCAGATACGAGTTCTGCCCTTCCGAGCATGATAACACAGAGCAGGGGCGGAAAGAGCCCCACAGGAACATGGTCCTACTCTTCTCTCTGGTAAGGGAGCCTGGACAGAACTCAAGTGACCTGCTCAATCCAGTGCCTTTTCCACTCTCCTAAGCAGCTCAAAAATGTTACAGTAAGACCTCGATTAAGAGAAGAAATCACTTGCTCTGAGAACACTTAATTTGATTGGTAATTTGTTTTCAGACACTTATTTTACAATTTTTTTCTATTATAAACAACCCAAAAACTGATTTTTTTTTAGGCCTATATGTGAATTCTAAAATGTATTACATCTCAAATATGGGAATTGGAGGCAGAGGTAGTAAAAAAAAAAAATCGGATAAAAGATATAAAATGCTTGGAAAATATTTCTAAATTTTAAGACTATACAAGACTTTATTAATTTTATTTGGTGTTTTGAAATTGCCTTCCCATGAAAGCTCTCTGAGCACTTTGCTTGTAACATTTACAGGTTTCTATTAACTTTTTGGATATCAAATTACAAGTAAAGTTTAATATTTCCATGTAACAGATTTAGAAAATGACCAGTAGGATACTTGCTGACATTCCTCAAGTTGTAAAGCAAAGCTCTGGTGGATCTGGCAACCAAACCCCAAAGTTCCTGATTCTCAGTCCAAACATTCAAACTGCTGAATGCAGGTATGTTCTGAAATCCACCAGTAGTGTACGTTTAAAGCAACTTTCCCTTTGTGAAGAGAGCCAAGTTTCAGCATTTAAGTGGTTCCAGCACGTGTCCTGTGGTGTTTGATTTAGGGAGGAATCCAAAAGCAAGTACCCTTGCCTGGCAAATTTTATCAGGCCCATGCCTCCTGCCTGCTGGCCAGAGAACAAAACCACACATGCCAGGAACCTCGGCCTCTGCAGAGGACCTAGTCTTGTCAGTGTCCATGTGGCCTGGGGTTTTTCACAATTTTCAAAGAAGAAAAAAGATTTAGACTACTCTGCTCACCAATTTAATAACTGAACCTTAACCTTCTCTATTGTGATAATCATGAAATACAACTTTTTCACTTTAAAAGCCCTTTTATATTCTCTTATTTTTTCTAATAAAAAAATATTTAATCAACTCTTCTAAACACATGAAAATAGAATCCTCTGAAGAGGCAGAGTATGAGTTTGTACCAGAAGAGAAAATAATTCAAACATTGATTTGCCTTAACTCTTAAAGAGATACATTGACTAACAAGAATATAAATAAACCTATGAGCAAATGTATGTTCATGGATATTTATACATATTTTTTAAAAACTCTGGAAAAGAAAGTGTTTTTCTTTCAGCACAAAATACATTTGATTGAAACTCAGTACAGCCATTGATATGGTAGGTATAAGAAAATGAAATAGAGACCACAAAAGAACACCTTGGGTAAAAGACTGCAAAGTAATGAGCTTGGTTTTTTATTCTATGTATTTATTTATTCTCAGAACATGCCAGTAAAAAAATAAATAAATGAAGGGACATTGTCATTCCCTACGTTTGAAGTTACAGGTGCAAAAAGATTATGGGATAAAAATGCTCAAGGATGGATTGTACTATATGTTAGCCGTCTCAGGATACAGGAAGTTTGTGTAGAAATAATTTTCTAGTCTTATAGCGACTAATGTAGAGGGAAGAAGGCAAAGGCTCTTTTAAGGTTGTGACTGAATTAATAATAGTTGCTATTAAAAGTATTTCCACCCAAATTTTTTAAATGCTTAGATTTTATCCCTCATCTGATGCACAAGGCTTCTGGGTTCAAAGTTGCCTTCTGCTCTGTTTTTTAACCAAATACCAAAACTCTATTAAATTCTTGATTGTGTGATAAAAATCTATGTCTGTTCTTTCAGTTAAGTTTTTGCAAAATGAGCCATTTCTTCTTTGCTGTAAGATATTTTTACAACAATGTCTTGCTGTTTAAGAAGGTTTCCGATTATCAGGGTAACACCACTTGTTTTGTTTACATATTCCAGGT